CCTCCGCTTCCTCCTCCGCTCCGTCCTCCGCTTCGTCCTCCGCTTCGTCCTCCGCTTCGTCCTCCACTTCGTCCTCCGCTTCGTCCTTCGCTTCGTCCTTCGCTTCGTCCTTCGCTTCGTCCTTCGCTTCGTCCTTCGCTTCCTCCTCCGCTTCCTCCTCCACTTCCGTCTCCGCTTCCTCCTCCGCTTCCTCCTCTGCTTCCTCTTCCTACTCCTCCAGCGCCGCCTCTACCACCTTCGCCTCCTTCACCGTTTCTGCCGCTCCCAGCATACTCGCCGCGCCATTCCCAGAGTTATCTCCGTGTTCCCCGCCACCCTCACTGTTCTTGCCACCTCTGCCGCCCCCGCCGCTCATGCAATTCTGCCAACCTCTCGAACTCGGGCTCAGGGCAATAACTCTTTCCAATGCAGTGACACTGTCCGGGAGGTCGTAGGGTCTCATTCTAAACAATAGCGTTTTTTATCCTATCCAAATGAAGATTTTTGCGGTAGGCGTGAGAAGATACCCTGAAACTCAAATTATTACGTAACTATCCACGTTATACAGTAACAAAACACAACTTCCAGATGAGATTTATGAATTAAGACGTTACATTATGCCTTATAATATAAGAAGCATTTCAAGCGTTGAACCAAGAAGTTGCGGTTTGTAATGAAGTGAAGGCAATTGGTGAGACATTTGAAGCAGGCAAACTGAGCAAACGATTATTTATTATGCAAAAAGTTCTAGATTTTGTGGCCCTACTCAATGAGAATGCACTCAGGGATTTTGAATCAAACTTGCTTGAGAATATAGGAAATATCTGATGACAGAGTTTGTTATGACTACAAGACCTAATCTAATACATTAATGAGAAATTATTTAAATTTCGTCATGAATTTCATACTTGTGTCCTAACAAACATTTTTCATTCAATTTTGTCACAGTTGCAGCTGTTAGTATGGATTAATTGTATTACCTATCTCACATACGAGAATCTGTTTATCAGAGTGGCAAAACATAACATCTCCTTTTTATACGTGGCCATTTTGTCCTTTGTGAAGTGACTTGATGCATTCGCGCTTGGTCACCGTGCATTCTTACTTCTCTCACGAGTAGGTTATCACGAATATGCTCTCCGCCTTAACAGCGCTATAACACATCCCCAGCGCTAACAGAGACAGGATCCGGATTTCAGTATCCTAACATTTTTTTCTACCGAAGGCAATGATGTATAAATCTATGTAACAATGCAAGCTCTGCATCACTGTAAATAGTGCTTGTAATGAAACAATTGGTGCTATTCAAGGCCCATAAGTTATTCAAGGTGGCTTGATGGCCCTTCACAAGATCCCGAAAAAAAGAAAGGGACAATTAGTCATCCAGGTTGACTGGGAAGGAAAATCTGCAAACAATTTCAAAGACAAAAGCAAATATAGAACCTGCAATGGCAGTTGAAACAATGGCAACAAGTATTTCAACATCACCTTCATGAAACTGTCCAGCAGACCCAGGCGTCTGGCTGCGGAGCCGTTCTATTTAATCTCTTTTATGACTCGCATTCATAAATGAAATCAAAATAGAAAAAATAAAATAAAAATGAATGAAATCTCGCGTCGCGGCAGTCAGCCGCACGGCCAACCGGATTTTTTATTCATTGGTGATTCACGGCACGTCAACTAATTCCCGTAAGTGTTGTGCATATTTTTGCTTGGGAGGGGGCGGTGATCTCCCCCCGTTGGATGGTGTGATCCGGTGCTGACCTACTGACAGCTGGCGGGCCTGTCCCCAACCAGGGATTTCCCACCAGAAGGGGACCGTCCCACGCCGGGACAAGCTCTAAGTTTCCGACCGGTCTCCTGTGTGGTACACCTAAGTATATGTGTGTGTGTATGTAAGGAGTTAGGACTAGAAAGAAGAAAGAAAGATCACGTGCCATCCGTGGACTATTTATTAGTGTACTGCTCCGGCATTTACCTGGTGTTGATCGAAGAAACTGGGACAACCAGAGGTTACTCTGCAAAGTACCGACCGACATGACAGCGGGCTTTGTTTCCACTTCTGCGCTCTCGGAAGGCCCCTTCAACAGACGCACTGCAGTCAGTGAACTTGCCCACAATTCAAAGACTCAGGCCGTGCGGATACGGAAGCGGTCAGTATGTCCACTTCTACATACTTTCTCAATAGGTTTCATTCCCAAAATGCACCACAAAAAGTGAAATTGGAAATAATGCGTGGGGCCGAGCAGATACGAAAGTGGGCTATGTGTTTATTTCTACTTCCTCAATAGGTCACCCATGCGCTGCATTAACGCACCTAGCAACAATTGTAAACCCCCAAATGTTATAGAGATATTACTACAAGAAGGTACTGCTTGACAGTTACTGTTTGGCCAATAATGTCATCATAACTGCAGGTTATGTCCAAGTACTGATTTTGTCAGGGCGTTCGTTTACATTTGGCTCATTTGTAAACGGGATCATCACTATATTTTGCATTGTTATCACCCTGCATGACGTTTTTGGCTCTGAATCACTATGTCTTTCATGACCTTTCTATCCCGGCCTTTCAAACTGTTCCATTCTTAAAGTAACTCATCTGTACTCCAGGGCCAACCAGGGGCCTCCTCAACACCTTTCCCTAGTAATTTCTTGTGCATACTGCTTCCTAGACGGCGTCGCCCTCTCTTTGACCAATGCTTCCCCTCTCACCACCCGGTGGCTGGCCGGTGGCGGCGGTGGCGATGGGAACGGGCAGCGATGGGGGTGGCGGTGGCGGTGGCTCGGCGACGCGTGCCCGGGGGCGGCAACCGCAGGCTTAGCGCCGAGGCGTGCCGCGCTCCCGCCGCCGTGGACTACGCCCCCT